ACTGACTCGTATACTCATTACACATGGGGAAAACCACGAAAACGCCCATGCAGCCAGCCCGTTCGCGGGATTCGAACATCGGACCGAACTACCAGTGTTCAGCTACTTTACCGCTCGGGTGCTGGTGGGCTGAAAGCATGAGATGAAAGGAAAGACTGGTTTCATCAAAAGGGAAAACGTCTTTAATATACCATATACTTCCCTGGATAAATTCCTGAATCTTCAAATAATTCGACTGAGAAATCATGGTATTCTCCGTTTACAATACGATATGATATTCTATAACGTAATTTAAATTTATCCAACCATACAGGCGAAAACCAGTCACTCTTATTTTAATCTGCAAACATATCGTTTTTGTCTTTTCCGTTAGCAAAAGCTCAATTGTATTTTCGTTAGCAATACACATCCAAGTATTTTCTCTTTGAACACTCAACTTTCTTGAAGTAGATTAGATTACCCTTCAAAGTTTTGCTTTTTTCCCCTAATTTTCTTCTTTTCTTTTACATTTGTTTTCAGTGCTGACACAAGAAAAATAAGATTTTTCGATTGTTACACTTCTATAAATTTTACATTCTTGTAAATTTTTTTAAAATATCAGTTGCATTAAATGCGTTTCAGTTGCGTTATATGCGATAATTCTACTTTTAAAATGGCAAGATATTTCTGCTATTTGTCTAAAAGATTTTCCAGATTGGAAATGTGGTAGAACTATTCCAACGTCCTGTTTGCGTAAAGTCATTGTGAAAATAAGCAAACATCAAACGAATTTTCTCAGTTTTAGACAATTCGAAATGAAATGAAGTTATTGAAGTAGCAGACGATAACACGGCGAAGATAAAAGTTTACTCTTACAAATATTTAAAAAAAAAAAAGGAGGAAAAAATGAAAAACATAATATAACATAATAACATATTTTTTTTTATAAATACTTAATAATAAACATACGCCATAACATAACATAATTTTTTATAAAAGAAATCCTAAGAGCTTTCAGATTCTACATTACGCCCAAATGGACTTTTTTTTAACCTTTTGAGTGTTGCCTTTATATATTAAATGCTCTTTGCACGTGAACCATAAAATTCTATTAAACAGCAATATCGCAAAATAATTTTAAAATGAGCATATCTATAGAATTTCCGATACACAGTCTCTCGCGCTGGAGTTAAAAATGTTTTGTTTTCCGTACAGTTTTGGCATTGCTCGCTTTCAAATCGTTGAGTTTGTTAATCAAAAATTCGCATAAATTGCTTTGCAACAATATGAAATCGATTAATAAAACATTTCGAATTCCAAATTAGGGCCTTCCAGATGCCCATATTCGGATGGAAGACGTACGTTATTTCAAAATTTGAGTGGCTCTAGGAGTACCGTTGCTTTTATCACACAGTGCGAGAAACATACATACATTTATGCAGATTCTACATTATTTAATTTCTTTAAATGTAACACAGGGCGATAAAATTTGGTGGCAACAATTTGGAAAGTAAAGCGACATTTAAAGTTTTCAACCCAAAATGCCAAAACGAAATTAATAGCCCTTCTGGGCTAACGCCCCTTGGGCTAATTAAAAAAAAGTTACAAATTTGAACAATATCATCTATGATTTACGAAAAAATAGCTTTTCATATAGTATTTATAAATATTTATTATGCATCATTGAGGGAAAGAATTCCATATAATTAATTCTCCGTGAAAGTTTTTTTGAAATTTAAGATTAAAAATTGCTGTGGAAATTCACTGTAACAAAATATATAAACCACACTTAGCTTTACTACCGCTCAAAAAAAAGATGCCAAACTTCAAAACGCGCCAATATCTAAATTCGTGTATATCTTAGACAATTTTGAATCAAAAACTCTAATATTTTGCAGTTGCGCCTAGAAATACATGTACTTCTAGACGATGGTATATACTTTATAGTTTATAATGCAAAAAGGTTTTCGAAAAATTTATAAAAATATTTAGAAATGCAAATTTTAAAAATAAATCATAACATATGTTAAATTATATTTGGATTAAGCCTAAATTTCGAATTCTGGCGGAAGGAATCGAGTAAGTTCAATAAAAAAGAGATATTAATAAATATATACGAAATTCAATTCATATTGACTAGCTATAATTTTGAGAGTTAAATTTTTAAAATCTACTCGTGTGATTTTTACAAAATTTGGCAGTTTCGCATACTTTGAGTTGTAAAATCGAAATATGGAAAAAAATGGCATGTCATTTCAGAAAAAGTTCGATTTGGGGTCAGAATACCTATATTAGAACAATGCTATATATAAATCTAATACATATCCTAAGTCGCGTTTTCAAGACATGAAACACGCAAGTTGAATTTCGTCACTCGGCCCAGTAGAACGGGAGATATAGAATTGTCATTATTATTTTTTTTCTTAGTGTAACTTTTACGCGGTCGTGCCCCAACTAACACTTTATACATAATTAATACTTTTTTACCTTATGTAACTTGTGTGCTAGGGGTTTTCATCTGCTGTAAATATGCAAAACATTTTCTAATGTATTAAGTAAGAAAGATACTCCACGTGTAAGCGAAAATTGCATAATTAAAACTCGCGTAATTCAAGGATAAACAGCAATTATTTTGATTCATTGCAATTAAATCAATACTTGAAAGAATGCCACAAATGAAGCGTATAAAAATTTGTAAGCTAAATGTATTATAGTCAGTTGACAAATAGAACTGGTTAAAAACATGTTATGATAGCTTCTTAAGTACTAGGATTAATTTTCGGAGAGGTTTGCGAAGGGCATAATTTGCTACTAGCAGCAACAAAGCTAAGAATAAAAAAAAAAGGTGCTTATCTTCGAGTAAGTCGATAAAAAATTCTCGAACGAAAGGAGCAGAGGGAAAAATATTTTCTCTTTGTGGTATCATCGATAAACGATGTAATGAGTATTGATTATATGAATGAAATAGGTGATGTGAATGAAAGAGAAATACACATTATTTATTATGTATGCCTTTGCGAATGTACTGAGTTGGGTGCGAAAAGGATACACTGCCTAGCTTAAAGAATCAAGAAAAAAGCGCAAAATATTAATAGCTTCTTCAGAATAACCTTTATGCATTACGCGGGCATACATATATTTGCGTTCATCAGACATCTGTAATGGAGTGTAAAAATAAATGATGGTCTTATATTATCATTTTGCCACTAAGCCATTAGTTATATATCATGTATGGTCTGTATATGCACAATATATGCTAGCTATATGTATGAAGAAACAAATTAAAAAACATCTGCAGCAGATCCAGGGATAAATAGAAGTCTTCTAAGTCCTGCAAAACAGGTCATTTTCTTTCTGCAATTCAGAACGATATTTTGCGATATTACTTAATAATTGCTTCACTCTAGAACACATCTAATTAACAATAAAAGTCAATTGGCATCTCATTAACAGAATATTCGTAAAATATTATCCGTGTTTTATTACACAGATTACGAAGTATTAATAAAAGTGAAGAGCCATCTATGATACTTGGTTCATGGTTATTATCAATAATTTTATGTATTAAAGAATAATAAAGAGAATTGTGGTTTTCTTAGAATCACTGATAAAATTAACTAGAGTCATTTTTGAATGAATTGAAATCATTAATGGAAAACTTATAAGGTATTTCGGTACTTACGTATTAACGCAACCAGGCCAAAATTCGCATAAATCGTCAAATTTGGCGACCCTACTTACGTGTTATGCGTACGTTTTGTAAACGAAGAGTTTATTTGTAAAAAGAAAAATAACGCTGGGCGTGTACTACTACACAGCAATGGGTTTTCGACGGAATTTGCCGAGGGAAAGAAAGAGACTTTTTTGGTTACTGTACCTAACAGAAGCGCCGTTACCCTCATGGAAAAAATTTGCGAAAATATCAAGGAAGGAAGCATCATTTATTCGGATTGCTGGAAAGGATACAATACAAGTGAGTTTGAAAATGCTGGATTTCTGCATGGAACTGTTAATCACAAATATAACTTTGTGGATCCCAACACGGGCGTTCACTTACAACATGTAGAGCGCATGTGGGGCTCAGCCAAATGGCGCAACAAAAAACAGAGAGGAACAGTCCGTCATCATCTTGACTCATACCTTATCGAATTTATATGGCGTCAAGCTCAAGCTGTTAATGGCGAAGACGGTTTTCAATCAGTGCTAAAAGCAATAGCCAAAAGATTTCCGCCGAAAAAATAATTCTGCAACTTATTCAAATTCGAAACCGGAAGGGTTTAATTGCTATTTTATATTTTAAAACAAAATAATATAAAAAAACTGTATTAAAATTATCTGTAATTAATAAATGTACATTTTCTTTCTATTCATACTTTTTTACTCAAACTTACAAATCGCGCCAACCTGGTTGCGATAATACGTAAGTACCGGTATTTCTCCCGCTTTCTTAGCATGCCTTCTTGGTTCAATGGTCAGCAAAATCGGCGCGTGTTCGAGAGGTCCGAGGTTCGAGTCCCGGCGAGTGCAAACCTGATGCGCAAAATATTAAGTGGCGCCCGAACTAAAAAAGGTGGTGGATGATGATTCTCCACCACCTGCGCATTTTCATGTCTTCTGCTTCTACATAAACTAATGTCTCTACAAACGTTTTAAGTACTTTCATTCTATAAATATGCTTCTTAGTATCTGAAATTTGAACGGTTAAATAACCTTTTTTTTCTGTAATTATTTCCTTACAAAGAGAAATATTGCTTTCTTAGAACCATTGATAAAATTAATTAGTGCCATTTCTGAGTTAATAGAAATCATTACTAGAAAACTTCTAAATAATTTTCCTTCTATAAATATGCCTCCTAGTATCTAAAATGTGAATATTTAACGATTTGAAATAAGAACGTGCTTAAAACTCCTGAGATTTCGCCTAGTGGTTATTTCTACAGAAGTGTGTTAGAATACCTATAATTAGAATCATCCTGTATATTATCACCTAAAAATCACATGTAAACTAATTTTGGTTTATTTTTTCAGGGGAAAAAATATCCACATAAAACAGAAAAATGTGCAACATGCATCATTCCTCTTAATATATTACTTCTCTACGGCTGTTCCTAGCTCTGGTTTTCTAAGGAGAAAGGTTTAGATGACAAATGTTTCTATTTTATTTGCATTTTTCTTCCGCTATTTCTTTCATTAAATGTATACTGCCATTTTCAATCATTTCTTACTTTGAAACATATAAGGTGATTATTACTACATATTTGTAGGTTCTGTGCTACTTAAAATGCCAAACTACTAGATCTACAAAGAGTGAGATTTATCATCAGACCATTTACCGTCTAACTACTGTTCTGCAGACTTAAATCAAAGATTTAAAGTAAACCAATTTATCAACACGTCAGTTTGCCGATTACACAAAATCATATCATAACTGAAACTCGGTATCCATTTTTGCGAGTAATTAGGAACAAACGTTCCAATGAAATTAAAATAAGAATTAGAAATTAAAATGTGGTAAGGAAACTTTAGCTCGGGCCCTTTAAATACTCGTGAAACAAGTGCGTCTTGTCAAAGCTAAAGAAGAGTTATAAATTCAAATAGCAAAGAGGAGTAAACACAGTAGAAAGTCAAGAAAACTGCCTTGAAGTGTTTACTCAGGCTCGAGGAATCTGCCCTTAAATTTTAATTTAATTGTTAAATTTAACTAAGTTGCTTTCATGTGAAAGTTGACGAACGTATAAATAATAGTAAAGTCAAAATAATAACATAACTGGATTAACATAGAAACCAAGATATTTGCTTTTTTTGTTTGAAAACTTGATGAACGAACACTTTATTTTGCGACAATTGTACATGCTATTATTTAATGTCTCTGCGATTTGGTTCGAATACACGTTTATCGTTTATTGCATTTCTAAAACTGTTTCACAAAATTTTTCTTTATTTTATTTTTTCGTATTTTGGAATGCAAAGCAAAGGTTCCAAAATATTAAATAAATAAAAAGTAAATAAATTATAACATCAGAACTTAATTACAAGGCTTTGTAAACTGTGAATATTTCACATACATTAGTATTTAAAATTCCGAGTAATTTGGTAGTCATGCTGCTGAATGCAGAAAAAATTTACCAAAACGTAAGGTAAAAAATATTTTTTTAAGTGCTTTAATACAAAACATGCAATTATCATAAAATTGGATGCATAAAACGAATAAGAATTAAATAGAAATACATCATCATGAAAATAAATGTTCATTCGAAATCTTCATTTTTTTTTATCTTTTCTTCTCTTTTAAATATGTTTTGAGGTATTTATCCGGGACGTTTCGTTCTTTCATTTAATATTTTATTGAAATCTTTTAAGCCTTTAGTTCAGAGTATACATATTACCAAAGTAACGAAATAAAAAAGAGAGAAATGATATCTTGAATTCCTTGCAGTCGAAAATTTTAAATTTCAGCAGTTTTATTCTGTAATTTTTTGGATAATTTTCTGATCCTTAAAACTGTCAATCTTATTCAATTAAATTGTTTGAAGGCCAGTTTATGACTTTTAATAGCATTTATTATTTGTTCACGATAATTACATTTTCTGGTATTTTTCTCCAAAAGCAGATTTATTTTGTCTCTGAAGATTTAAATTTGTTGCAAAAGTAATTTAAATATTAATTGTCCTTTGTTTTACTTATGTAAATTACTCATTCAATAATATTTTATTAAGAAAGCAAATTGCAATACGCATTAGAATAAAACCAGCTTTAAAACAACTTATATTATAATGAAAATGAAATATTACTGATGAAGTAAATTTAATTATTATTCCATTTTCTTCATATTATTGCACTTCTTTTGATTTGTTATATCACTAACTTGAACTAGGTTATGTAGCTCGAATTAATTAAAAAGAAAAGTGAAATAAATAGAGACAGTAAAAGAGAGAATTACGTAGAACCCGAAAAACATTTCTTATCCATGTTGCATGTCTATGAAAATGTTACTTAAGTTAAAAAAATTAATAAAATAAAAAATTTAATAGGAAAATAAAAGCAAATTATTTTTGAGAAGTTGATTTTAACGTCAAAATGACGTTTTTAAGCATATGAAGCCCTTCTATTTAAGTATAAAAATTTATTATAATCCAGTATCAGTAATTTTAATTTGCTATACAAACATCATAAATTACGACATCCATGTGAAATAGAAAACGAAACTTTTATGACTGTGAATGGAAATATTATTGTGTTATGGTTAAAGGCTGATAAATGAATTTTAAACTCTCTGTATAAAATTACCGCCCTTATCCGGCTGTGGGACTGGCTGTTACGTCGTTCTAAAATAAATTGAGCTTTATCAATGAGACCCTTCTCGCATAAAACCACTTTTGGAAATAACCAGTATTTCTCTGCATATATAAACATCAATATTGTTAATCGTAGTAAATATCTGTAAAATGTTCTAACACGAAAGAGACTATGAAAAGCATTTGTTCATGACCACTAAAATATCTTAATATCAATGTAAAATATTTCCAATTCCTATACAGGTTAAGAGATGTAGTTCCAAAGGTAAAAACTACATTTTATGGAGACGGAATTTTAGCCATTTCTGAAACATAAATTATGTGTTTATCTTTGGGCAAGGTAATTTATTTTATACATCCGTCTATTACACTGTAATGAGTCAGTACATTCCTGCAGTGTTTACTAATTTTTCTATTTCCTACCTGTGTAGCTGACAGATTACATGTAAATCAATTTTCAGTAGACCCAAGAAAGCTAATTTGTGGTTTTGAATTATTGCAATCGGTCGTTTTTATTAAAGTGTTAAACCTAGTTGATGAATGTGTGTCGCAAATTTGATAAATCTTAAATTATTAACCACGCATTTAGATGATCTGGAAACAAAAAAAATAAAGTAATTAAATTTTGAAATGAGATTAAAATTTATAAAAACGATGTTAACAAAGAAATTTGGCAGAAAAGTGCATCATAAGACGTGTACTAAAAGACATTTAAAAAGAAAACAAAGCAATCAAGTAAGAAGGTATCATTGTATGAATAATAGATACTTTAGAAACATTCAAGCAGAATTTTTTATATAAATTTTTCCCTTTTACGCATAACATACTCTTCCCGTATTTTGAAATGCAATTCGCTAGTAGTATTTGAGAAATACGAACTATTAAATAAACCTTTTCTTAAGATTATTTCTTGTGATTTTAAGGTATATTTTAGATGATACATTTTTCTTAAGTTAAAATCTGTCCCTGCTGTTTCGTCTGTTTCCACTAGAATATGTAAATATCATCTGTTTTAAATAGGAGCTAGAATATAAATTAAGAAAATTTGGTTTTGTATTCCCAAAGACTTTAAAGTGTTTGCATCGTCAAGAACTGTTTGTACCCAAGGCGAGCGGTAATTCTCTTCCCTGCTTTTGCTGTTGCATATTAAGTAAAATTCAGGAAATTTATCGAGTCAGGTGTTAGAATAAAAATTAGCACGTGATTGTAAATAACTCAATTACCATAATTGGGAAAATGAAAAAAAAAAAATAAATAAATAAAATTTTTGATAATTTAAGTACATACCTTTATATGCAGTGATAATAATACAATTAATAGGAAATATATCCTCTTTTAGCAAATACGATCTCTAGAATGCGCGTAAGCATTGATTATACTAATTGTATGCATACAGGCTTTTATTTCTTAACCATCTAGACTTTTATAGCGTTCTTTTCGCAATGAGAGAGGCCAAAATCTGTTCCGCTCAAAATCCGAAACGCCGTGCATAAGAATTTCTGTTGGGATGGATTTAGTAACCTCTTTTGCATAGTAGAAACTTTAACAGTAACCTACTTAAGTGATTACTCTCTTTTGGTGATCTTTGCGCTGTCTCACCGACTATATGCAGTTTCCCCTTAACACAGGATTGTAACTGCGACCGTCAATAGCTAAACATTGACGCAACAAAGGGGATGAGAAGTGCATTCAAATAAGAGTTCTTTTAGTTGTTTCAAAAGAATAATTGGCATGCCATTTAACAATTTCCGACACCAGGCTTCGGCTTCGTGAACTAAGGTAAGTTTTCTTGGGCACCTGGGAAAACCCTATCCCAGTCTAACACGTAGTCGGTTTACGAATATTGTCCGAATTTTCTATCGCGAACACACTAGTGACCCACGCAATAACGTGTTGGGGGAAAAAAACCAGGTAGAAAATGAACGCAGGCAATAGGGCGACCTGGAGATCTCTGCGTACACGAGCTACGGGTGACTCTGCTACAGGCAAGTTTTAATCACGCACTCTTTTGTAGTACAATCCCTTTTGTTAAGATGTTCTTCCATAATATGCCACAAGTTTTCGATCGGATTTAAGACTGGTGTATTTCTAGACCAATCTAACACAATTTTATTTTCCATGGCATGGAAGCAAATCATGTTGAAATGTCTCAAGAATGTTGAAATTTCTCAAGAAAATGTTTTCAAGAATGGCAAAATCCTACCTCTTATATTTCTTATATACTTCGAATAATTCATCATTCCGTCAATATGAACTATACTTCCAATGTGATTTGCAGTGAAAAATCCATAAAACGTGTCTCTTTGATGGTATTTTACGGCTTCTTGGATATGTTGAGGTATTATGGATTCACCTATGCTTCTTCTAACAATGTTGAATGTGTAATCATCAACACATAAATGAGACTCATCTCTGAAAATTAAATTTTTCCAGTCATTTATCTTCTAAGATTTCTACTTTCTTTCTGGAAAAATGATCTAGCTACAGTATTTTTTATGCTTCATTTAATGTGTCCAAATGTTTTTTGATTGACTTTCTTGTCTTCCGACCAGCAGAGAGAGGTCTACGCCGCAAGTTTGAAGGATGAATATTAATACCGATAGATAATAAATCTCATTTAAAGCCTTTGCTAGTTTTTAGGAGTTTAACGCTATTTCGGTGGTGTAGGAATGGATCATATTTTAGTGGTGTTTTCCTTTTCTTTCCACATCCGCCATTTCTTTCTGGAAAAATGATCTAGCTTCATTGTGTCGCTTCAAAATACGAGCTGCGCTCGATTTTCCAGCACCAACGGAAGATTTCTAACACAGTCATGGACGTGTCAAAAATCTTTGCTCTA